CGAAGCTTGCAACGACCAACTCATCAGCATCCACTGCCTGTTATCAAGTTTAACAGAAAAAAACAAAGTCTACACCCACACTAAAACGCTTTTGTTTTAGAAAGCTGTTTTTTAATCCAGACTAGTATTTCAGCCCTTTACCCGAAAAAGGCATTTTACACAGGCGGCTGTGGCCGTGCCTTAGGTGGTAGAGCGGGTTGTCCTCTAATCGCAAGGTAGGTGGTTCGATTCACCGCCCCTCAACATGTCAAAGTGTCCTTGGGCAAGACACACCCTGCCTGCTTGGCAGCTTTGTCGCCATTGGTGTAGCATGTGTGATGCATAAATGAGAAACACACTGTAAAACGTTTTTGAGTACCACTAAGGTAGATTGGCGCAATACAAGTGCAGACCATTTATCATTACGTGGCCATTCACATACACTGAACACGCGAACGCTGGTGCAACACAAAGCAGGGGGTTGGCTGCATAATTGTAGGAAATACTATGAAAGAACAACACACTGGCAAAAATGGAAGTAACAGTGACGGTAAGACCCAATCAGAAAGTGAACTCAAGTGTCTGCGTCATCATTTCTAAAAGTCTCAGTTTCTGCCTATCCAGACTAAATTCTAACCCTGGAGATGTCAAGCTTAAAGTGCTTCCAAAGTCTCCATTTTCAGGGTCCTAAAACTGCAGAGTAGTGTGGACGCTAGGCGTAAACGTAACAGTGGCTATGCGTTTTTAAAATCAAAACATATTAGTGTGAAGGTAGCCTACAAGTCAAAGTTTAGACCGATGAACACACAACATAAACTTTATCATTTGAGAGCAACAATGTGCCTTCTTCAGAGATGCATGGACAAAGCCTGACAACAACCCATTTACTGTTCTACTACTGGATGAAGCAAGCACATAAATGGACAAAAACAGTTACACTAAATGAGTTCAACTTAATTCAGCAGCAGTAAATATATGAAGCTTCCCAAGGAAATTAAAGTCTGTCAAGTCAGCTTTCTGGTGAGTGTAAGTTTCCACAGACAGAGGGGGCGTTCATTTATCAGGAAAAGTTCAACAAACTGTGAAAAAGCAACTCGCAGCATTTGCAGTTACAGAAACAAGTAGTTGTCGCATTTGCAACTGTTGAGGGTCAGCACGGAGGCAGAACACAGGAAACGGGCCTCTTTTCAATAAAAGTTAAACTGTGAATGTGCATGTTGAAGCAGCGATACCGACTCCACTTTACTACAAGGTGACAGACCACTGAAGTGGTACCAAGGCAGAAATGTGGCAGGTCGAAGTTGATGATCAAGAGAGATTTCAAATATAAAAGATCGGTACAACAAAGATGTGGAATAAAGAAAAAAATCTACCTGTATCCTTAACGTTTTCAACAAAGTTTTCATTTTTTAATTGGTTTATGGTCAAAGTTTAGGTTAGATAATTACAAGTCAGCCTCAGGCTACGGCTTTCTTCTATGCGGGTACAAACAAGTTTAGGTGTTAGTAAATCTAAAGTGACGAAATCGTTTCACACACAGCACATTTGTTAGGTTTCAAATTCTCATAGGAGATTTTGGGATTCTACCTAAAATTTCACCAGCGCATGAGCTTAAGAACGTTCTGCTTTGCTTTCCGTTCTCTGCCCACCTTCTCGAAATTTCAGAGAAGCAGTGTCTTATGTCGATGGTGTTTTTCAGTCTCATGTTTGCGACAGACCCACCTGTGGGGCTTCAAAAACGAAACCGCTGAGAGGCAGGAAGTGTGGTTTACATCGTCGTAACTTCAGCAGCGGAAGTTTAACTCCTCTTTATACGACAGGTTCGACTTGCATGGGAGGCTGCAGGGGAGCGCTGCAGCTCTGTGCATTTCAAATCTTTGAATCTGTGATGCTGGGAGGTGTGTGGGTGTGGGCGTGAGATCATTTCAACATCAAGATATCAGCCTGTGTTTATATTCATATAACATCTGTACGTTTTGACTGAAGAAGCGATGTGTGTTATTTGGTTTCTTGGGGAAAAACACGTGGAAAAGCGAGGTAGCTAGTCACTAGAATATAAATGCTTCGTCCAACGTCCAGTGTAGCATCTGATTTAACCCAGTTGTGATGTTTAAACACTTACGTTGATGCGATCGCCTTCACACAATTAAGGTTCCTTTAAACAGAACGCATTCAACCGAGAACAAAACAGTTACCAAAGTCATTAAAAACAGATATTAAAAATAAAACAAGCCAACAGCTGTGTCCCAGTTTCACAGCACCTGTTACATGTCATCAATGTTCTGGTTGACAGTATGTAGGACATAACCTCAGATAAAAGGGTCAAATTAACTGGATTCCACCATGCTAACGTGCACGTTGCATAAAAAAAAAAAGGTAAAACATCAAACCGCAATAGCTCAGAGAGGGGCATTCTTATCTACTGTTTCTAGACTTTCTATGCGATGGTAGGCCTGTTACAATCATTACTTAATAACCTGATCGTGATTATTTGAGTTGACCGGAATGATTTTTATATTCATTAAAAATGTTAAAACCACTATTTTCATGTTGTTTTCCACCAACTGTGCCTCTTCTTCTACTGTAGTTTGATGGCACCAACTGTTTATCGTGACGAGGTTGATTTTAAATGTTTGAGAACGGCTTTTCACTGAGCATCTACTGACATTACGGTCATGAATTCAGTAGCAAAACCAAACTTCACAGCACCACTGTGAGGACATATTGGTTTTTAACTAATTGAAAAATTAGAGTCCAATGACTTGGAGCGGGCAATGTGTCGCATTTGTAGTCAAACGTAACAGTCAAAGGTGCTTATACCATCAAACTAAAACTAATAAAGGCATAAAATCAACAGAAACAGGCAATAAAATGGTGGATTCACTGCTTTCCATGAGGAAAATCTGTTGGTTTTATTCATCCACTAAGTTACTGACCTGAATAGTTTGAGGTTTTGGACTGTTGGACAGACAAAAAGGGCAATTTGAAGATATCAACAAAAGTTACTTAGCTTACTAGTATTTTTTTCCATTTTGTTTTGACCTTCAAAAAAAGAGTCTACTTATAAAATAGTGCAATTTTGACTGGCATTAAATCCTGTTTAAGCCACTCGGGGGCTGCAAAAGACATTTGTAAACATTAGATTGACATATCATACGTACACGTCAGCAAACAATTGTCTATTTACACAATAAGCAAAAACTTTAACGACTTTACAATCAATTTTCTGTCATGTTTAGTCCAGTATTTACTATCCTTTAAGATGTAGTCTGCTCTTTTTAAATAAACTCCTGAGAAAGATATGTGGCTCTTCAGCTGCTAAATCTTCACTATGCTCACTGTCTAGTCCAAAATGATCTGCTTTAATGTCTGAATTCAGCAGGTCAGGTGTTCAGCACAGAAGGTTTTAAGAGCTTTTTGCTGAGAGCATCTGCCAGCTTTAATTGACCTTGATGAGATCGATGGGAGTGACCATAATACAAGGAATATAAGCTGTAACACCAAAACAGTGACCTGAAAGATGCCAAACTGTGCCACAGAGGTGGGGCGAGACCATTTTAATCACTACAAAATGCCCCCTTTCACGTTAATCATAGTCTACTGCTAATACAAAAGTATTGATTAGTGGAGTATTAAACGACCCAACAGCATAACGACAACCTATAGATCAGAGGTGGAAGAAGTGCTTAGATCTTGTACATTAGTAAAGGGAGCAATGTCACACAGAGGTATGCATTTATAGTTAAAAGTACAAAAGTATTAACCTTAAAAATTTAATCAGTGTACCAAGAGTAGAAGTATTCATTATGTACATTGGCATGCGTTATATCTATAGATGCATTAATGTGTTCATTACTTTAATGTTGCATCTGGTAAAGATGGTTTAACTGCTTTATATCCGACAGGCAGCTTGTGAATTTACCATCAGCGATTAATAAAGTTTTGTCTTTATTAATATTACATCACTTATTTTTGTCAATAATGAATATTTTTTTAAATGTAATGGAGTAGAAAGTATAATATTTGCCTCTGAATCACAGTGGAGCAGAAGTAAAATGGAAACACTTAAGAAAAAGTACCTCAAAATTGTACTTTAGTACAGTAGTTGAGTAAAGTACTTCGATACTTTTCACAACTGCTATGGATCGACCGCTACATGAAGAGGCTAAAGGATTAAATCCATCGTACTATCATACGGTCTTCACTGTAAGTTCTTCTTCTACGCTGTCTTTAGCTGCAGTGAATTGAAACCTATTTAATTACAGTTTTCGACCAATATCTTATTTCTATGTCCTCTCTATTAACATGGCAACACAAATCTACATCAAGCACTCAGTACTTTAATTTTTGGTAGCACAAAAACGTGCTCTAATGCTACGATGGTGAATGTTAGCAGACAAATATTGGCCTGACATAAATAGTTCATTTGAAAGTTTCTATATCTGTCAGCTCACATGACACCGCCGACTGAGGGCCAGCAGGGTTTACAGTAAAGAAGGTGACTTGTGCCAGTTTGTGACGCCGAGTATTGCAGACTCAGGCCCATGCAGTCATATATTCCTGATCTGCGGTTAGTATTTCAGCTCTATTAATAGTCACCTCCCGGCCTCCTCACCACCACTGGGGCTGACACACAAATGCAAAAATACACACACACACACACGCAGCTCTTGAGCAGGCCTCGGATATCACATCGACCGTCAACGAGGCTGTCGCGCGTTCAGAGCTGCAGCAGTAGAAGAAGAGCGCTACAGGTGTGTTACTGTAGTTATTTATATTTTACGGCTGATCCCACAAAGCAAGTTGTTGTTTCTTTTTATTAAAAAAAGAAGATTATATTTTACGAGGTGTTCAAAGGCTTTGCCAAGTGTTACAGCTGGTGTTTACAAGTCCTGAGGGTATGGGCGGTTTTATTTTAGATGCGCTGAGGTTCCAGCAGGTGGGTTTGTTATCTTGCTTGGGGTTTTAAGTGTGAATATCTGCCAGGCTTAGCAAACATTTTTCTGTCTCCTCATAAAACACTTTCTCTTTTGTGTGGGGAGTCTACATGGGGAGATATTTTGTTGTTTATTCAGCGCTAAACCTGTTCTGACAGCCAGCTGGAGCAGACAAAAGTTCTGAGTTTGCTGGGGAACTCGCTGGCAGCCAGATCTTGTGGTTACGGCGTCACCGGGTGATGAAATCGCTCTTGTCTTTGCCTCTTCCTCTCACAGGTTGTTTAAAGCATCAAGGGAGGAAAAAAAAAAAAAAAAAAAAACCCTCCTCCTCTGCCTCCTCCTCCCCGCTGCCAACCCATCTTTCCTCCGGAGGAAAAGGGGCAGTCGGTGCGTCGCTGCTGTGGAGGAAACACAGGAGTCGTCTCCAAAATCTGACGAACCTCATCTCATCAAACCGCCTTGTGTCGAGGGGCGTCGTCGTCAGCGTTCCAGGTGGTTGTTTGGATACTTGGGTGGAGGTCAGACGGTAATAATTGGCAGACATGTCGCCGTTCCTGCGGATTGGGTTCTCCAACTTTGAGATCGATCCTGGCCTGGCCTATCATGAAGAGGTGCTGAATCCCTACTGCGCTGTTTACATGAAGGAGGCCATCGACACAGGTCAGTGGCTAAATAATTCATCAGTAATCAGAAGACGAGTATTTCTGTCCACTAATCAATGAATCAATGGAGTGACTGCAGCGATGTCAAAAGGATGTTATTTTATTTGAGCGTACTTATTTTTAGTAGAATATCGTAACAAAAACTTATTGATATTCTATTCAACACTGCATTAATTCTCATGTTGTTGTAACTGTACGATCTATCCACACTGTGGCTGTGCATGAGAAGATACTGACTTTAAATTAAACCACTCAGTGGAGCATTCTGATATCTGTATTGATAAATATGTCTTGGTTGTGGTGAACCCATCAGCTGTGGTTTAGCGTCTCTGAGTTGGACCAGAGCTAAATCAACGAATGATCCGTTAATTGAGTTATTTATCCAGACAGTAGTTGGTCTCAGAGTCTAAAATGTGTTGATTTGCTGCTTTTTTTTTGTATCATATGGTCGTAAAACCAAACATCTCTTTGGGTTTTGGATTGTTGGTTGATCAAAACTAGCAATTTTGTTATCTTAGGACAGGACGGAAGTTGCAATTAGCGTATCTGCTTCTTTTCTGACATCTTACAGATAAAAAAAATGGATCAGCTGTTGAAAGTAAATGGCAACTCATGCAGTGCCCTTTCAAAACATGCCTGTTCAGAGCAGGACGATTGCGGCTTGCATGCATCTCGTGCTTCGTCTGACTCAGCTGCATGGCGTTTCACCTCACGCATAGAGACACTCACTAGTGCTTTGGTGACTCAGCTTTAAAACACCAAACTACAAATTGGCGCTTCACAAGTCCTGAGCTGGGAAGGGATCTCGTGCGGTGGCATGGTGGTATTGTTTGTGTTGCCTTTTTGTTTATTGACTACAGGGGAAGTGAAGAAGACCTCAGTTGTAGAATCCAATAAAGGACTGAATTAGTCTCAGTAGGCTGGGGACCTCGTTGAAAACATACTGTTGTGAAAGCGTAACAGAAAATAACTTTAAGTCAAAATATGAGGGAGGAGCACGGAAACAACTTCACACTCGACGCTGCACTTCTTCGGGTCTGCATCAATAAACACAGCAAGTGTGAAGAAGATCTGGTGAACAGCTGCATAGAAAAGCAAAAAAACAGTCGCGCACATCCTTCCTTTATAAGTTAGATGAAAATGACAGTTAGTTGAAGTCCTATGATGTATTTTTAAAGTGGGTAAATCAGTCTATTTCTCAATACAGTTAGGTTTTAATATTTGTGTTTAAACTTCTGTAGTAAATTTTAAATGTTAATCTAATTTTTCTAGTGAAAAAAAAAACTGTCCACCAACTTTTGCTGTTTTAACCATGATAATAACTTGTGTTTTATTGTCCCTCGTGGTAATACACACAGTACACTCGTAACATGTTAGAATCGCTCTGCTTTACAACAAACAGCCATTTTACATTCAGTTGGTCTTTCCTAGAAAAACTATTCCCCCCTCCATCCAGGAAGTGACACACAGGATGTTCAGAGAAGCGATGACAGTGGGAGTTGGAAATAGAAATGTAGAAGTAGTATCTCTATATTTAGAACATGTTGGACAGTAAAATGTCACCACCAAGTATAGCACAAGTCTCACAGACTATCCTTAATCGTTTTCTTAGACAACCAGCGATGTTAAACTTTCATTTTAAAGAACGCTGGATGTCCTGTTGTAGTAAATGCAGCGTTTAGGATAAATAAGGAATTCAAACTGATGCTAGCTCTGATGCTACATGTACTGTAAATAATACTGTAAGGGAAACTGATGCATAGGATCCCAGGCTTCATATAGCTGGATGGATAACGACAAACAAAAATAGGGCTGAAAATGCAAGTGGGTCAGAACAGTAAGTCACCATATCCTCCAATTATTACAAACTTCATTGTGGATTCACTTCCAATGTCACAGCGTTGGGAAACTTGTGATAAGAGACGAGCAGCAGATATCTTTGTTCTGCATCTGGCTATCTTTAACCACTGGTGAGTATGAGTGCAGGATAAAGCTAAAAAAAAAAGTGTCACTGAGAGGAAAGAGGAGGGCTCTTCTGTTTCTTTTCCTCTTTGGTGAAACCACAAGACTTGTATTACGAGCTACCAGAATAAGGCTCTGTATTTCATAGACATATGAGTGACTCACTGGGGGACGGTGTCATTTAGTTTCATTTCACTTTGCCCCAGACAATAATGGCTTTCAGGACTGAATGAGACACTGACTAGATCAAGAAAATACTAGAGACTCACAATACTACCATGCACTGAAATAGCCACAGCATATGAAGACATCCGCTCTTTTAGTAAACAATGCCAGGTTTCACCTTAAAGGAAGAAACATATCAGTACATCACATGAACTAACCTCTAGCGGTTCCAGTGTTTATGATGCTGCTCGCTGGCACCATGCTGAGTTTGTAAAATTAAGGGCTGATGATGAGAAACTCCCAAGCTGGCTAAAAACAAAAAAAACACTAAAGATAGCTCCCATCAGTCACTTTGGCTCACTGCAACTGATTTTATCTTCAAATAAAAGTGATGGAAAGCCTGGATAAACAGCTCTCCTTTGAAGTCGTCTGTAGCTGTGTGTGCTCAGTCTCCTTTTGGATTTTTAATTATTATTTTTTAAAACTCTGCCAAGCACAAAAATGCAACGTTTTAAGGCCCTGTGACTTTCTGTTTTCATGGTTTTGTTTTGAAAAATAGTGCTGGCATGCATGACTAGCCAAAAAGCTGCTTCTCTGTGCCAATCTACTCCTGTCTATTCCAGCAGAATGAAGCTTGGCAGGGGTTCAAATAATGATTGCTTTTGTTTTGTTTTTTAAAATAATCTCATTGTTTGAGTTTGTTATAATACCTAGAATTAGCCAGTGACTTTATAAAAAGCGACAGCATTTAGTTTTTGTTATGCAAACTGTACCTGTGTCTGTGTGCTTATAAAAACACAGAACATGGCAGCATGTTCTATCATTTTACTTTCCACAGACGCCCTGAAAAGACTGATTCCGATGAGGACTGCGTTTACATCGACTCGAGTATCCTGGTTGTGATCAGGTTTTCGAAGTATTCCATTTGTACATACAAACATCAAATCCCAATTTCAGAAACCTGGATAAGTCCTTATCCTGATTCTATGAAAACAAATTAAGCTAGCTAGAGTACACTTGTCATTTTATCCCAGTTTCTGAATGCTGCCAACACAGGTGCAGTTTCACTCAACACAAAGTTAGCGCTATTCTCCACAGCAACACACTGGTCACTCACATTAGTGACAAGAACTGTTGTACTCAGTTCTCTGGTCTCATGAACGGTTCAACTCTGTCACACACAGCCAGTAAAAAGAAGCCATGCTAACACTAAATTTGACTCATGATCACGGAACTCCATCATGGCAACTCTACATCAGGCCTCTTCATCCATCACTGTAAAGGTCTACAGACTGACAGTGACAGGCTGACACTGGCTCAAGTGAAAGACATATTTAATACTCCTCGTCACTCTCGTCAGTGCTGGAATTTAATAGTGCTGCTGCCTCAAGCTAAAGTGGTCTCAAAGTAGTATATTAATTTCAGGGTGAGCTTATAGTTACAAGAATGCCGGATTAATTTGCTGGTTTACATCGTAAACATTAGACACCTGTGCAAACGGCGTGCAGTAAATTAGTAAACTGAATATCATTACTTATTAAAGGATGTTTAAAAAAAACAACACAATGTAAACACAATATCCTGAATATCAGCAAAACTGGCATAAGCATCATAACTAGGATGCTGGAGTGCATGTAAACACACCACCGTTAGCGGAAATCACAGCATTTCCTGACACTCACTCCTAAGGTTAGTGCTTCCTTTCCAAGATGTAAACCTTTAAAAACAATTCACAAACATTTTTAAGAAGCCCCAGAGTACATTGCCCATTTGTTGAGCACTATCCTCAGAGGTGGATTAATACACATTTAGGGGCTCTTCAAGCTTTTCTTACAAGCAGGCAGGAATTGATTCAATATGTGATTTTCCACTGCAGAGCTTGTGGTCCATTTAAGAGGGTTCGAACCTTTGTGTGAACCTCTATTTTCCATCTAGGTTAAGACAACACGCCTCCATCGTCGTCACCACGCGCTTGTAGGACTGGAGTTGCTTCTAGTAACCACTAGCTGCCTGTCGTTTTTGGAGTCAAAGTTGCATCACAATGGAAACAGAAAGGATAAAAGGTCAATTAGCGGGCCCTTGTTGTAAACGTTTGTGCCACCTCACACCTTCCCCGAGTTCCTGCAGTGAAACATCACTAAACAGAGCAGCAGATCTTAAATACATGAAAATACCAGTGAGTCAGTTCAGCTCGTTGTTACTTCGGTCTTTTAATGAGCGATACTGCCAGTGAGAAAAAGCACAATACTGGCTACCGCTTTGTGTGAGTCGACTTTCATAACTGGAGCAAAGCGATAAAGCCCTAAAGTCACAACAAAGGTTTTGGTGTGCACGGTCATTGCACAGTTCCTTTTTTTTTTGCGCCATGAGATATATCCTCATGTATTAATGGACAGCTCAGTTAAACAGAGGGCCATTCTTAGTTAACTTCCACTTTTGGATTTCTGTTTGGTGAATCAGGGCTTCAAGGCTGCTGACAGACTTGTCTAAAGGAGAGAATTCATAATTTGTGTCACGATTACTGGAGACACTGCGGATGACATCCAGCTCTGCAGTGTTGATACTTAAAGCTAACTTTGTGTCTGCGCTAAACGTCTTTGATAAAACACCCACAGCACATAAAGAGAGGAAAAACTAAACTCCTTCAAAGCAGCACAGGCATAAGAGTCTAAAGTCTAAATGCCACGCTGGTACGCTTCAAAGAACACAGGAACTGACTATGAGTGCTGTCTGACACCAAAACATGTCACCCCGCATTCTGCACGTCACAAACTTTCTGATATAGCCTGTGCGTCTGGGGATGCACACACATATTTTCCTTCTCTGTATGCTTTAATCAGCACACACTGCAGCTGGCAGGACAGACAGGCGATGAGCCAATGATGAGGAAGGCTGCAGATCACATTGGGAGTAAAAAGCTTAGTGGGCTTTATTGTTGAAGCGGCAGGATGGCATGTGGCTGTTACGTAAGTGGATATATGGGACGTTATTGTGGAGAAAAATCTGCAGATGTCAACTATGAAGGCCAGAAGGGGTCTTTTTTTTTTTTTTCCTGGCCATATGATACGATTAAAAATCTCTCAATGCTCGATAAAAATTTTTTTTTTAAAAACCCTGCTGGACAAGTGGTCTAATATTCAGATATGTAACATGCTGCGGTGCAAACTAAATGTGTTACCCATGGCAACGATGCTGAATAATATTCAGTTCTAACAACACTAGCAGCCTTACAGAATAGGGTGACCACATTTTAATTTAAAATGTAAAAAATAACAGAAGGACTTAGCTTTAAATGGCAACTTGAGACTGAAAAAAAAGCAGCTAATCCCTGGAGAGTGACACACTATACATTCATCCTATTTTCCCAGATTAATTCCTGGTGTTAGTTTTCATCACTGGCAGGAAATCTCCGGATCCTCCTCCGGATGCTATTAATGGAAGCTAACAAGTTAAATGTTTAGAGGACGAGGCTGGTGATATTCTATACTTCTGCGACTCTCTGGCCCAGTGCTGTTTCCTACTGAGGACGCAAAACAATTGTTTTGCTTTCTAACCCTCTGAATCCAAAACAGATTCTGGGTTTTTGTTTTTTTTGCTCCTGTCACATCTTTACTCACTGTGGGCTCATTTTTCACTGCAATATAAAGTCCTGCAGCTGTTTTTAAAAGACAACTTGAATGTCTCATGCAGTATACCAAAGTTATGATGCGACGAATAAAGAAAAAAATAAAGGTTAGATTTCTTAGATTTACAGAAAAAAGTGCAATAAATGCACAACTAATCTTGGAAAAAATATGGTTTCGATATGCCGCCAACAGGCTATTTGATGAGGCCTACTTACATTTTTACAACATCTACAAACATAACAAAATATATTTCCCCACGCTGAATGTGTCCTCCAACAACATGCTGCTTTCTGTTCTTTTCTTCTCTGCTTTGTGTAAATACAACCTCCAGAACTGAATTTGTCTTTCTAGATCACTCGAAAAGATGAATCACAATTTTAAGTCTAAATTTGTTTGTTTATTCTGATGAAGCGTCAGACAAGATGCTGGGGATTTTCAAAGAAAACAGGTCTTTTAAACTCACAGATGGGTTTTGTGGTTCAGCGAGTTAAATAAAAAAAAAACTGAACAATATTGTCAAACAGCTGGGCACTGTTTTTTCTTTTTTTTCTTTTTTAACTCAAAGTGGAGTAAATCATATTACGTGCTATTTTCAGCTCCAGATTAATCCACATTTGGTGCTCTAGTTAGTACTTCAGGCAGCAACACACCAAGTGTTTGTGGGGTTGACTCCAGATACTTACGGAGCGTGTCAGCCAGTGCAAGAGTGTTGCTCATTCAATAGTTTTTGGACAACAAACGGAGCTCTGTGGCACAGACTAATAATTGCATCATTCACAATTTCCAACTTACGAGAAGATCTCTAATTTGCTGATGCACAAAATTCCTACTTGGCACTAAAGTGAAATTCAAAGTAAAAATTACTAAGTGCAGCTTTTGTTTCATCATACTTCCTCCAAAGTAAAGCAGTTCTGCCAGTAAAGAAGATTTTTTTTTTCCCCTTTTGTCTTTACAGAAAAGGGTCAAGTGTACAAGCAGAAGAAGCCCACCATGTACCCGCCATGGAGCACCACGTTCGATGCCCATGTCCACCGCGGGCGCATCATGCATGTGATGGTGAAGGACCGGACAGCAGAGCTCAAGTCTGAGGCCACGGTTGCTCTCGATTCACTGGCAACTCGCTGCAAGAGGGAGAACGGCAAGCTGGAGATATGGGTTAGTGCAGCAGGACGGATGTGTGTGCTTGTTTGAACATGCAGACCAGCTGTTTTGCCGTTGTGGCAAAATCCAGATGGGCCATCTCACTTTGGGGTCAAAGGACCACATGTTTAGAGGGGTAATCCTCCTTTCAGTCATTAAAAATCATAGCCGCCATTTTTGGGAGCAAGCATCATCACCTGCTCTCCACGCAAAATGGTTTCTTGAAATCTTATAGCAGGAAAAGCACAGGTGTAATTAATAACATTTATAATGAGCCATGTAAGCAATGGCAGAGAGTGAGCAGGCACAACACCAGCATTTTGGAAGGGGACACCACTAGAGCACCACTAGAGCTGCTTCTGCTAACTCTAAAATGTCTCCGCTATGACCAAACCAGGCCAAATGTCCTGTTGTTGACTGCAAGAATGAACACAAGAGTCTTAATGCACTCCCAGCATCTCCAGAACTACAGACCCAGTGGATGACTTGATTTTTAAAGGCGAAAATCCCGAGCATTAGCACATTACATGGACAGTGTGGCTAAAATGAACATTAGCTTTGATCGTACGGCCACAGTCCAGAGCTATGTAAGAAGTGTAATGTTGAGGGACACCATTGCATAAAAGCAGTGTGTAACCCAGCATCTCTCAATGCTCTAGGTCAGATTGTGGTTCAGACATATTTGGTTGAACTCCTGGGTGTTGTTTGCACCTGTTACAGACCTGTCAAATTGACAGGAAGTGTTATTTGACTTCTTGTAAGGTAATCACTGAAGTGAAAACAAAGTAGCATCATGGTAACTGGCCACATAATCACAGCAACCCCAATTCAAGACCAGCCAGACACAACTGCTGCAAATCCCCACCTATTTCTTTCTACCTGTATTTCTTGCGATCTCTCTTTTGTACGTCATCTAATGAGGACTAAAATGCTCATACATTTGCAATTTTCTGCTGTGGGGGACGACCTCAGCCCTGCATAAAGCGGTTCAGTTTTGCACCTTTTGATAGTTACATCTACTTACATTCAGATCAAGGAATATCACTGCTCATGCTAATTACCCACTTCTTTTTTTAAATCAACTTTAAGTGATCAAAAATTAAAAATAGATCACTTCTGGTGCACCAGAGAACTTAATTCCCACAGAAAGACTTGGCTTTGGGTAACACCAGAGGCTTAATGCCAGCTGTCTCTTACACCACAGTAAGAATGAAACAAACAAATACTGTCAGTAAATAGATGACTACAATCAAATGCATTCCTCCAGTCTGGTCCTTATGTGTGTTTGCGTCTGCCAGACTGTCTATGCATAACGTGCATGCATCATCCTCCTCCTCCTGAAGCAAAGTCCTTCCCCTTTCATTCTCTGGAATTTTCTGACGAATTTTCAGCCTAAAACATAATTTATGTGCCTGTTTTACTTTCTTTTTGTTTCAGTTGGAGCTGAAGCCGCAGGGTCGCCTGCTGATGGAGGCCAGATACTATTTGGAGAAAAGCGGTGAGTAGTTTAATCCTTCACAGCTCAAAGGGCTTTGCAGATATCAAGTAGAGGAAAGTTATTTACTGAGTTTACAACAAAATTAAAACACCTGGCTTATCAAAATGTGGCTAAACGACAGTGAGAGCTACAAATTATTATTTGTTTGTCACTACAGAAATCTGACAAGTCCAATTCTAACATTTACTTAAAATAAACATTTGCTGCTACCACTTTTATCCTTCATGTTTTCACATTTTATTCTTTAAAATGAGTCCAGGTCTTTAATTTACAAGAGTCTACGTTGGATTTTCTGTGGTGGAAAATGATCAAATGTTGTATACAAACAGGGAATGTGATTACAAAAGTGGGAAATCATCCAAATTGTCCTTCACAGCCCTGCAGCAGCTGCACACTTGTGTGTCTTAATCAGCCATAATTGTGCCATCATAATTACATTCCCTCAAGCTAAAAATAAGAGTTTTGATTGTCTGCCCCCTGCTGGCTCTCAGCACAGCAAGTGGTTATGTGAGCGCTTTGTGCTTTTAACTGGTGCTTTCCTGACATTAGCGCCATGCCACAGTCTGAGAAGTCACAGGGAACTAAAAGGAAGAAGCCGCCTCATAAAGCTATATATAGAGCAAACAAATAGGAAATCAGTGCCCAGGACAACAGGTGGAACAGAGGCTGGAGGACTGTGATCATTTGATCCGGGGAACTTCCTCCTTCGTGCAAACACAGAGTGCACATGTGCAAATTGTTAAAATGTGTTTACTGCGCTCTTGAAGAAGGATAATCAAATAGACATATCTTAACCTTTAGGGCAATGTGTTCATTTGGTTTCCTTCCGAGTGTAATAGAGGAAAAGATCAACAGCAATCTTAGATGTGTCTGTGTGTGGTATCCTGAGTTGGGGTCAACAACAGTTTAAGTGAAGACAGTTTTAGGAGGAGTTACGTATACGAAGCAGCAACTCTTGTCGTCACAGTGAGGTTTTAGTTCAGAAATCAAATCTTTAACTTTCAAAAAATTTAATTTCTGTTCCTATATTTAAAAATCTAAACCGTATAAATATCATAATTATTGTCTTCCTGGTTGTTTTTTGTTGTTGTTTTTTCAAATTCTGCCATTCTCAGCTGTCCAATATTGATTGATGTTCAGTTTGTAATGCAAGCTGTGTTGTAGAGTTTCAGGGTTACTCACAGTGTCGTACAGGGGAGACACCCTGCTTGTAAAGGAGAGCCACAACTCGTGTCATAGTGTTATATTTTTGTAAAATATGAAGCTTCTTAGGCTGCAGGGAGAACAATCAGTCATGCTCCATCACGCAGCAAAAACCCGAAAAAGTAATGAGCAAAGTAAATTACGCTGATAATAAAATGAGATGCATCAGGATTAATTTGATTCAGCTCAGCAGACGATAAACATCACAATCATTTTCAAGACTTTCTGTTCATTTGATGCCTCTATTTGTTTTAGATTAGTAATATGAAGCACTTCTGGGAACTTTTTGCTCCCAATTTAACAAATCACCTCCTCCGCGGAGTTATTAGGCTCATCTTTTTCATGTGACTTTAAACTAAAATGTGCCGACGGCGAGATAAACAAGTGGTGCCATAAAACCACAGCAGAAGAAACAAACAGTGGACTACGACAAGGAAATATCGACTGAAATACGATATTTGTGTTTGCCTCATCCAGCTGTGAATGGAACGGATTCAAAGGATTGTGAAAAATGATCACATTAAGAGCAAATATTTCCTGAGATACCGTCGTTCAAACAGCCCCAAGGAAAAAAACGCACTGAAAATGGGTCAATATATCCAGCTAAAATTTTAGTTACCATTTTAAATATCCAAAGTTTGTGATAACATAAAGTTTTAGGCAAATCAGAGATGGTCAAACAGAAGGCTCCTGATTATCCGAGATGGAATAACCCATTTGTGAGATGATGCGTCTGTGCAAAATCCAACTCAAAGACGATACCCACCCAAACCACAGCCTGTTCTCCCTGCTGCCGTCTGGTATGTGCTGCTGCACACCAGACTACAAAACTGCTTCTCTCCTTAGGCTGATGAACAGTTTTATTCATTACTTGATTATTTCTTTCTTTGTTTTTTGAGAAAATATCTGCAATTTCATTACCCAATCTTGTGTAACCTGTTGCGTAATCGAATCTTGTTTTCCTTTTGACGTAAAGGTTGTTTGATGTTTCAGACGCTGCAGGTCAGGCTGGAGGAGACCCGGAGTCCGAACGGGAGAGAGAGGGTCTGTTCACCCTCCACCAGCGACGTGGTGCCATCAAGCAGGCCAAAGTCCACGTTGTCAAATGTCACGAGTTCAGCGCCACGTTCTTCCCTCAACCGACCTTCTGTTCCGTCTGCAAAGAGTTTGTCTGGTGCGCAACCGACTGAATCTTATAAATCATCGAATTACTCATTTTTTTTCCTTTATCATATGAGTCATTTCACCCGTTTTTCTCCACTGCAGGGGTCTGAACAAGCAGGGCTACCAGTGCAGACGTGAGTTTATTTTCCACTGACATTGCTGGATCGTTGGGTTTGAATGGCGCCTTCGTGTCTAAGCTGCTCATCCTTGTGTCTTTTAGAGTGCAACGCAGCGATCCACAAAAAATGCATAGACAAAGTTATCGCCAAATGCACCGGTTCCGCCATAAACAGCAAAGAAACAATGGTGAGTGTCTGCTTCACACTGATTTTCACACACTCATGGTTTCCCAGTAATCGCTGACAGAGCATCGCGTCTTCCAGGCAGACGTAACCTCCACACTTACTGACAAGAGATTTGTAAGCCTGTGACTGTCATGCTTACTGATGAATCAGTCGGCTTGCACCGGGGTTTTCATTTACACCAGACTTTCTTGTCTTGTCTCATTTACCGCTTTTATCGTTTCTGCTCTTGTTTCACTTCCTGCTCGGCCACATGCCAGCTGAGTTCAAGTTCATTATACTGGAAGAGAAGGTGAAACCAACAGCTGTGAGGAAAAAAAAAAAAGGAGAGACCTGCCACCCACTGTTTGGATATAGGAAGTGTTTGTACTGATTTTGAGAATGCAGGACTAGGAATGCAAATTTTAAACAATTTCCTTAACCAGTACTTGGTCATGTTAATGATTAATAATCAACTAATAGCTGAAATGAATGAAATACAGTGGCTGCTCTCCATATGCAGATGAAAAAGAGGTTTGACATCTAATGTTTGCCGCAACATCTGCTCTGCTACATTAAGAATCTGACGAACAAATAAAGTAAACATCAGGTTACTTGAGTTATAAATGAAATGGCAAAAAAACAATGATTTCTTTGAATCCAAAGTACTCCAACAAACGAGCTGCAGTCTTCCATAAAAAATAAACTGTAGCGTTAATAATCTATTGTCTAATAACCCTCATACCTGATCTACATGATGAGTGACTTGTTAACTGTAGCTACTGTTATTCCAGCTGCTGGAAACAGCTGCTCAACTGAAACAGATGTCCTCAAATATTGTCGTATTATCATCATTTTTTACTTCCACCTAGAGCAGAGCGCCGCCAACACACTTCGTCACGTATTGCAAATGTTGGAAGCACAAAATCAGGGTCCTGCTGCTTCTAACGTTAGCAGCATTAGCAGTTTTAGCTGTTCTATGCTAACAGACAATCACGGTCTGTGTTAGCATATGAAAATCATTAAAAAGACCAAACCTCACATCACTAACTAAGCCAGACACCTTTTTACAAACTTGAAGCTGCAGAGTTCATCAGCACGCCTGTCTTAGTTAGCAGTTAGACAGTAGAGAGGTGCACTTGTTCTATGCGACTCTTACGGGCAGTCAGCACCTGTAACTCCACCTCATTAAACACTAAGAGGCTCCACCTGCTCATGCACCCACGCACTACAGCAAATCCACGACACATTTTCTCAATTTATCAAATCACAACAGCAAGTAATCCTTAGCATCCCTATTCGGGACTGTTTATTTCTCCTAGAGGATCTTGTTACCGAGGTGATAATGTGTGCATTGTGTTGCAGATCCACAAGGAGCGCTTCAAGATCGACATGCCCCACAGGTTTAAAGTGTACAACTACAAAAGCCCCACCTTCTGTGAACACTGCGGGACTCTGCTGTGGGGGCTCGCTAAGCAGGGGCTCAAATGTGAGGGTGAGAGGCAGGAGTTTTCTGATTTCTGTGATTTTATGCACATTTTTATGCACATCCTTATGTAAACGAAGCATAAAAAACACATCTAACAGTATAATAGATATGTTGAATAATACATCACTGTCCTAAGAAATACATAAAAAACGCAACTATTGACAAGACTAATGATCCTTATTTCAGCTTTGTGACAACATTTTACATTTTTAATTAAACAATTAAAGGTTCACATTTTGCCTTTTTTTGTAGCATGTGAATTAAAATGCAACTCCTAAGGCTGTGATAAAAGCTGAAAATAGATAAAAGATAAAAATCAAGACGAGCATTTGTCTTCTAAACGATGAAATGTTGTGATTAAGAACGTGCCGACATAAGAGGGGTTTTTTAAATGTTTTATGTAACATAAGAGGATCATTATCCAGCTTGTACAGATCATTTCGTTCGTCTATATGAAAAATTCACAACGAACAGATGTGGTAATACAAGGTTTTGGCCAGATAGCAATTAGAATTTAGCCCACAACATAACATGATATACTTCCAGCAGCTGACACAAGAGCAGATATTTGATCATTTCCCGTCAGAAATATGCAAACACATGCAGCTGCCGCAGCAGGTGCTAAGTATAGAGTTCCCTACGAAATTGATCACATTCCCAGTGCAAGCCAACACACTGATGCATCCGCCTAACGGAGGTGGGAGGGTTGGGTGTGTTGCCTGTAACAACGAAAAGAATGCCACAAGAAAAACTGCCTGTCCAGTAGAATTTATAGTACGCAGTGAACAGTTATTTCCTATGTGAAGATGTGCAGCAACACACTCGCAAAAATAAGAAGCTAATCCTTTCCTTGCACACATATAGTTAGACATCCTTTTTAATGGGGCTGTAGTAAACCCAAAAAAGGCTGCAGAGAAACAGCCTTCCTGTTAACTCTAGATAACCTGCATCGACCACAGTTCACTGAGTGGACTCTACCTGCTAGCCTTGTTAGTCTAAATGAATCATAAATAAGCATAAAAAGTGAGTATTTGCAGCATGTTCAATCATTACAACCTGCTTATCTTGCACTGAAATAACTAAAGACTTGGAACAGACCGGCGTGCACCTGCTCATATTCATATGATTTCTGAAAATAGAACTGTATCAGCTGATGATCACAGCGCAACAGCTGCTGATAAACATAAAACACCCAAGTTATCTATGCTTTCAGATGATCTGCTGCACCGGTTGTTCAGCTATGACACACAAACTGCTGGTTATAGATTATAAAAGATTAATTCTAGAAGGATGTTGCGCTTTTCTCTGTATGCAAATAACACCAGCAGTTGTCCGACCAATGACGGATCAGATGAAAGCATATAAACCAAATAATCGATTGAGGCGCTACAAAGCAATGACGCATCAAAATGTCTGAAAATATAGCATGTAAAATGAGAAATAAACCCATTAGGAGCCTGCCTGTAGATACAAAATGAAACATGCACTATCAGTAAAACCTGCAATGTGTAACTGTGTTTTTTTTTTTAATTCGTTGTCACAATATATTATATTTCCTCATTCTGAACTGAGAAGACATCATTTGCTTGATTCATAATTCAACAGAGCAGCTTATTAAATAGCATTAAATATTGTTATTTTTGCATCAGTTACATGGTAAACTGTGCTAACGTTGTGTTTTCTTTTTGTGCAGAGTGTGGCATGAATGTCCACCATAAATGCCAGAAGAAAGTAGCCAACCTCTGTGGGGTCAACCAAAAGCTAATGGCTGAAGCTCTGGCCATCATCGAGACCAAACAGCAGGTCAGACAAAAAAAAATAAAAAATCTCTTATACATGAGCTGTATAGGTAGTGTTTTCACCACTATTGCAACGGAGTTTTCCTTCATCAACTGCTGTTACAGTAAATTCACCTTGTGGCTGCTAAGACACCTATAAAAACACAGTAGTAGGAGCTAGTTTCTGATTGATAAAGCTAAAGATATCCTAATCATCTGTGAGCCTATGCCTTTTAATATAGCAGGACAAGCTTGGCATTGGCAGGGAAAAAAACGATCAAAGCCTTCAAACTCATCAGTTTGATGTTGGTCTTACCTTTCACATTAAGGCAAGAAGCACCAAAGACACAGACATCATTGGTCGAGAGGGTCCGGTGACTGTCAACCAGCCAGGAATGGTCCGAGCTCCGTCGGGGTTAATAATGGGTTTACCTGCTGTCGCTACACCTGCAAATAAAGGTACACAACCTATTAAATATTTCTCTTTTTTCTTCTATTTTAATGTATCTAAAATCTCATTCGTGCTTCCTGACCTGCCTCTTGTTGCAGATGTGCAGGGGGTTTCATGGGAAGGACCAACAGACGTCTGCAGGACGGTCTCCGAGGCGTCGACAGAAGAACCCCTGTATGCCGTTCCAAGGAAGGACCACCAGCCCAAATTTATCATTGATGACTTTGTGCTGCACAAGATGCTTGGGAAAGGCAGCTTTGGCAAGGTGGGTCTGAAGAAGACAAGCAAAGCACAGGACAGGGTTTACACCAGAGCTGAGAAAATGCTGAACAGAATGCAAACTGCATCGCAAACAAACACTGAATGTGAAGATGTGGCATCTCAGTCACGGCATTTTGTATCAGATTAGCTAGAAAATCGAGGCAACACGAGTTTTCTTGCAGGAGGCACAGATGAGAAAAATTGAGAGAAAAATACAGCTTTTTTTTTTTCCCCCCTATTCTTAATGGAACTTCTTATATCTGATTTTTTCCCACCAGTTTAGTCATTCTAATCAACATGTGGTATTCACACGTACTCCCCACTGTGAGACTTGTGGTCAAACCTGTTTGTGCAGTCAGTTTCCACAGAAAGCCCCCTTCTTTCTTGAGAAATGTGGGCACTGAACTAAACACACACTCACTATCCAACCAAAGTTTTTACATTTTCTTGCTGTGTTTCCAGGTGTTTTTAGCCGAGCTGAAAAAGACCGGCAAGTTTTTCGCCGTGAAGGCCCTGAAGAAAGACGTGGTCCTGATGGACGACGATGTGGAGTGCACCATGGTGGAGCGGAGGGTTTTGTCTTTAGCCTGGGAGAATCCGTTCCTCACACACCTTTACTGCACCTTCCAGACTAAGGTGATAACCGTGCACACTTGGACGTTCAGTAATCATCTAAAGACAGTCACTGCACCCACCACTCCTCAATCGACTACACAATTGACTTTTCTGTGTTTTGACATTCAGGAAAACCTGTTCTTTGTAATGGAGTATCTGAACGGAGGTGATCTCATGTTCCACATCCAAACCTGCCACAAGTTCGATTTACACAGAGCCACGTATGTATCCAGTCAATAAACTAAATATGTGTAATAAGACACAAAACTGTGGCTTTGTAGCGTTTGTGTGGGACACTTGTATGTTTCTATCAATCTGTTAATGCGCCACCATGTGATTAATGACGTGCAAGATTGCTGGCAAGTGAAAACCGCTGTTGACTGGTAGCAGAACTCATTGCACTTTTTGTTAATCTACATTCTCTAACTTAAACTTCTGGTTTTGGTTAAGCCACAGTTTGTCCTAAATCTGGTCACCCTGTCACTTCTCTTGTACCACAACAAGTAGGAGTGCGGACAAAAGTAACACAGCAAATTTGTTTTTTCCTCTCTTCTATTTTTGTCTTCTTGCAGCTTCTATGCAGCTGAGATCATCTGTGGGCTCCAGTTCCTGCACTCGAGAGGAATTATTTACAGGTAGGCGTCAGTAAAAGTAAAAAAGAAAAAACAGCTGGAATTTATGATGTGTAACTCATAGGTCAAGCTGACAAATTTTCTTTCTTGCTTCTGTGACTCCTCTGTAGAGACCTGAAGCTAGATAATGTACTTTTGGACTCAGATGGTCATATAAAGATAGCAGACTTTGGCATGTGTAAGGAGAGCATGCAGGATGACTCGCGGACCTCCACCTTCTGTGGGACCCCTGACTACATCGCCCCTGAGGTGATCACACACTTTGCATTGTAACATCCCGTCTTTTGCCTGGTTTGCATGCTCTGTTAGCAGATTTAATGCCATTTAATTAAAGGTTTGTTCAGATATCTTAACAAAACATTAGGTTTTATCCAATGCGACATGGCCTCTTGCGAGATTTACAAGTATATATATACGTGTTTGACTCTGTTTTAGATCCTGCTGGGCCAGAAGTACAACAGCTCAGTGGACTGGTGGTCATTCGGGGTGCTGCTGTATGAGATGCTGATTGGTCAGTCTCCGTTTCAAGGCCGTGATGAAGAGGAGCTGTTTCAGTCCATACGAACGGACAACCCTGCTTACCCCCAATGGCTCAGCAAAGCTGCCAAGGACATACTAGTCAAGGTCAGACACTGTGTGCAGATCTGTTTCAAAGGTTGTACCGCCATTATGAGTACTAACTGAGTATTAAAGAGCAAGCTCACACCAGTTACCTTTAGATTTTGTTGTTGTACAGGCAGACATGAAGGTTATTTTGTCAATGCATTAATTCAGCAGTGGTTTGCACTTGGTTTAGAAAATATAATAAGCTCTACAACAAACTATCCAGGATACCGATTAAGTCAGTACATAATAAACACAAACATTTGCACAATTAAAATACATTTGTCTAAGATTTATGCTTAGATACATGTCAAAGCTATCATTAATAACATAGGTTGAAACTAAAGTTAGTTGACACCTGGACATCTGAGGAAGCAACAGAAGCCATTTATGTCTTTAAATTTTAACACAGTGTTAAACTACTATTCCCTGTATTTCACTGTTATTCGAGCACTCAGAACAAGTAACCTGTGTGTGTTTGTGCTTCAGCTGTTTGTGAGGGAACCCGAGGAGCGACTGGGCATGAAGGGAAACATCAGACAGCACAGTTTCTTCAGCAGCACTGACTGGAGCGCTCTGGAACAACGGCAGGTGGCGCCGCCCTTCAAACCAACTTTAGTAAGTATAGAGGCTTCTGTGTACAAGCAACTCCACCATACACTTTATCCTGCTTAGATCTAAAAACAGATAGTATGCTTGCTGTAGATACTTAGATATTTATGAAAATAATACCTATGCTAGTCAGTTGTTGCACCTGAGATGTTATGCACCTTCCTGCCACTAGGTGCTAAGTTCCGATTTTGTAAACCAGCAAGGAGGAAAGTGGGTCAGATAACATTGAGTAAAATCAGTGTGGCTGATCGAGAAAAAGAAAATTGGGTTGTATGTCGGCTGTGTCAAAATAAGCTGCCTTAGAACCACTTGACAGGAGCAATGCGCAACTATGTTCAGCATAGACATGCAGATAAAAGCAGCTGCTAATGTTAGCACTGGCAATTTTAGCCACACTTTGCAAACCAATACGACATCATTTACCCGCAAATGCTGTAATCCCACTCAGACTGAACTCAGCTCTTCATGTGCACATCACATTTGTTAAAGGCTTCCGAAATTTCAATTTCCATTTAATCCACATGGAAATTAGGCCAAAGTTAATGGAATGCTTTGTTTTTTCCCATTTTTGGGCTAGTCGATTACTCTAAAAAAAAAAAAAAATTCCATTTATTCAACAAGAAAATTAGGTTTGTGATTCTTCCCTAATTTCATCCTCTTCATATGACTCAGCTGATGAAAGTCCAACATGACTTCTTTTGTCAGTTTCTTAGAAATACACAAAAAATGTACATCTGGATTAAATTCCTGGAAATATATTAAAATGTAGATGACTGCTTTAGTAAAGTGTACTGAAGAAGAGGCAGTAGTTAAGGGTTTTGTTGTGCATGGGAAGAAGCTAATGTTTTTAAAATTTCTTTACAATCAGTAAGGTAAAACACTGCCGAAATATTAAGTAGTACTGGAAGTCAGTAGAACAGGAATGGAAGCACAATTCAATCTACAAGTTCATGTTTTCTCAGTCTGAACTTTCCTGACTTTCTAATCTATACAAGCCTGCCATCGACAAACAAATGCAGAAATGTGAATTAGTGTGAAAGCACACAAACACAATCTGGAAACAATTGGATAAACCTGTTTGTTTTTCTTTTAGAGTCAATATACACCCAGCTCTTTTAATGCTGGCACAATAGTGGATTTAAAAGGCCGTTCCACATCCCTCTGCACAGCCATCGTATCAAACCCACCCGATATTAGATTTAAGGTTGTGATTGGACCAGTATGAGCCAGGCTGAGTGGAAATCTGCTCGAACAGGAGGGAGGCCAAACTCATTCTGCCAGAGAAAATGAAACATGAGCGCTCAGATTTGTCTGGTTCACAGAATATCATCTTATTCTCCAGTCTCTGTGATTTCAATTCTAGTGCTACAGAAGTCTTTTATTCTTCTAGCGTATAGTGACACTAAGCTGAGGTTAGAAAACATAGAAAAACTAAATAATTATTTGTGCCACACTACAATAATAGACTAAGCTGTGTACTCCATCTTGTTAAGCTCTTCAGTGGTGTATTTTACGTATTGTCGTGTGTAGTAACATGTTTGGTGTTCGTCCTTGCAGACATCACCCAGCGACTGCAGCAACTTTGACAAAGAGTTCATCAACGAGAAGCCCAGATTGTCGTGTGCCGACCGGACGCTCATCAACAGCGTCGACCAGACGATGTTCAGAAACTTCTCCTTCGTTAACCCGGGGATGGCGCGCATCACGGCACGCTGACCAAAAACCTTCAAACAAGCCGCTCGGTCGCAACCAATACTTAGATTGTAACCGAAACAAACCGCACAGACTTTAGACTGAATGTCGCAAAACTGGAATTGTATTCACAAACATGACGATGATAAACACTGAGGAGGTGACCTGGGTGAAAGACATAACTGTGACTGTGTCCCTCGACTTCAACACAAAACACACAAATATGCTTCAATATCTTTAAAAAGCAAACATTAAAAGATGACACACTTCATATGAAAATACACCTGTAGCCAATTGTGATTCGTCAGCAGTTAATTCAACTAGAAGCTAAAGTTTTTCTCATAGTGTAATTATAATAGCATGTAATTGGTTTATCATTAAACTACCCACATGTTGGATACCAATAATAATAATAATAATAATAATAATAAATTTATTTATAAAGTGCTTTCAGTCAAAGTGCTGTACATAGAGATAAAGAAAAAGACAACTGGGGTGTGTTTATCAGTACAAAATGTGATTCTAATCAACTTATGGTGCCTCGTCATACTTTATGAAGTTCACGTCTTCAAGTAAAATCAAACTAAGAAATTTGGTTGCACCAAATTCGTCCTATTTTTCTCGTTGTTCCTCTATACTATTCCATAGCGTACCGAGTTTTTTGCCTCTATTTTGGGTAAATATGTTGAAAAAAATACCCAGTCTGTGTAAATAACTGTAATGTAATTCTATAGATATGTATAGTGCTGTCAGTCGGTTGTAGATCCGTTCGTGTACCAGGGTTATTGTTTACATGTGTTTTCCGATTGTATCTCAGGAGTTTTACTGATGATGTACTTAGATCCCTGCATACCGTAGTTTCTATTGTTGTCTTCATTGTGAATCCTGTACAATAAAGTGTGTGTGTGTTTTTTTAAATGTCATCAGTGTTTCTTTTAACGAGGAAAGGGGGCTTACGTGTCAGAGGTAGTATTACTCACCACATAGACTGAGAGAGAAAAGGTGGAGGTGTTGGGACTATGTTAGTTTTTCCACTTTAGTATATACTCTCCAAAATTAAACACACTTTCTGACAAATGGTTTCATTAGTTAAGAAACATGACTGAATTGGTTACAGTGGGAAGTCCTAAATGCAGTACCAATATAAATCATGGTGTAATTTGTTAATGTAACTGAGATTTATTTACAGACAAATAAAAATGTATGTTGTATTAGCTGATAAATCATGCTAATTCATTGCACAACTGCAGAAATGTAAATCACTGACTATTTCTAAACTGAATATTTAGTCGCAACTATTTGGCTAACGTTTCACAGAGAGACATACTTAATGTATTGCCGTAGACATAAAACTATATTATGATGGTTAAATTCAGATAAAAGCAGCTAAAGACGTTTATAACCTGAGCTACATGAAGTGCGCGCTCCCGACAGCCGCGACTTTCTGACGGGACACCGCACGCGGCCGCTAAGTACCAACACATCCAGCTAACCGTTTCGTACCTTCTCACAGAACACAGCTGAATTCATACCTTAATAAAACATCTCCCTTTACATATTATAAACACAGTCTAGCACCGAATTCGTGGCCCTCTTTTGCCGTTTTTTACCATTTGAAGCGTTTAGAGTGACTGTTAGCTAATGCTACCGTTAGCTAACAGTTAGCTAATTAGTCTGCGAGGCTAACTTTGACTTTAAATCAACAGAGGACACTTACCACGGTTCCCATGTCGTTTTAACATCCATAAGACTCTTCTGGACTGTTGGAGGTAAATAAATTCCACTTGTTGTAAAGTCAAGACAGTTTTTTCACAAAAGAACTTTTACAAACTCTAACCATTTATTTAACTAATATGAAGCAAGATGGCGTCAGGAAACGGCAGCTGTCCGGTGCTCACCGCTTTACAGTCCCCCTTTACGGCAAAGCAGAAAAATAAAAAAAAATAAAAAATTCTAACACCTAAAAAATTAACATAATGGCATTCAGTTGTTTTAGGCTCACTTAGATGCTAAATTTTAAAAATTTAAATAAAACAATAAGTGAAAATCAAAACGTTTACTTGAGCGGATTTTGGTGTTACACCATTATGAGGAAGGATTTGTCACCTCTTGTTAGAATCTTTTATTAAAAACACTAAAATGTGGCATCTGAGACACAGATGTACAAAGATTTTGTAAATTTTATTTTGTTTTTAAGTAAGCGTTAATAGCTCAGTTGGGATTTATAAGTAGGGGTACAATTCTCCAATGAGATAATGGCTCATACAGAAACAGGGACTTTTTTTTTTTTTTTTTTTTTTTTTTTAATCAAAAGTAGTTTCAGTGAAAATATTTCTGGAATGAGATATTAGATTTTATTGAAATACTTTTTTAAACATATTTTTTTTTGTTTGCTTGTTTTATATAGAGTCTGTGAGTGAGATGCTGCAGTTGAATTTTCACCAGTCATTCTTCAAAATAAAGTTCCAACCATTTCCATTGAATTGATGATATTTCAGAGTCCAACGTCTTAAATTAAATCTCTCTAAACAGCCATACTTCAGTAGGATTTCATCTTTGTTTCATTTTATTCTTGGTACGCTCTGTTGCTTTTGGTTGGCATTTGAATGAATGCCGCATTCTAAATTAAATTTAAATTAAATGAATCTCTGCAAAGCTCTGTGAAGTCCCAAAGGACGATTAAGCAACATTCAAAATATGCAGGCCTGGATCAAAATGCCAAGTTTTTTAAATTATTTTGATTAATATTTACATTTATTAGCCAGTTCAGGAAATGCATCAAAAACAGGCAGACCCAACTGAAGCATCTGCAGCAGCTTATAGGCTGTGTATGATAAACTGTTTCTTTATTATTGGGCTGTTTGTTGCCTCTTTTTTTTTTTTTTTAATGTACTTAAGCAATGAGATCATTCTTGTAATAATGCCACTGCTGTAAATGGTATTGCATTTAAGCAGCAAAACTGACAACTCTTTCCATTAATCCACTTTATACACCAGGGGAAAAGTAATGTGATTCTCGAGGAGATGATATTTAAGTTTTTGTTGAAAACAAAACACATCCACAGCTCTGATGGTGTCGCGTTAATCCTTCTCCAGTGATGTCACTGCAGAAACTGTGCTTGCTGTGAAGTAAAAGCGCTAATAAATGTATGCACGGTCATAATGACACGTCAGAAGATGTAAATAATGAGTAAGAATATCTCTGCGTAGATTCTCCTTTTGGAGACGGGGTGGATGTTGCTGCTGTGTGTTGCTGCAGCTGTTTAACAGAAAAGAAACGAAGATTCTACATTTGTTTTTCAGTGCACGACCAGACTTTGAAAGCAGATTATGCAAGTGAATGCTGCAATACTGAAGGAAACACTTTAACCCCTGCAAAGTCTGATGAATGTTTGTCTCTGCAGCTAGAAAGTATTAAAGCAGAGATAAAAGCTGTGAACGTTTGGCTTGTATTTATTCAGAAAACTAATTTATGCAAATCAAATAAACCAATGTGTGTCTTAAATGTAAAAATAATGACAATCTTTCCTTGTCGTTACCCAACTGGATCAAAAATCCCAGTGAGAAGCAGCAACTGTCACTTTTCTGTTGTTTGACTATTTATACTGATAGTCAACTTTAAAGCGCTGTGTAGGTTTATTTTAAACAAACTCAGCCACTAGTTTGACTCGATCAAATCATTTTATCTGCCTGCGCCTCACGAAGCATCACATTTCGAGGTACCAGATATCAGAACCAATAAATCCCAGTAAGCAGCGTCCGAGTGAAAACCTTGTTTTATGTTCAGATCCACCACATTTCATGTACACAGTATTCACACCCAGACGGTCAGAGCAAACACAACCCAGCTGGTCTCACACGATTACATTCCTTGTGTTCGACAGGTGAGATACACAGAGTACACACACAGAATGACTTTACTATTACAAGTGCTTCGGGACATCATTGAGATCGGGCAGGTGTTTGAGCACAAGTTTTACACTCTTAGGTATGTGTTGTTTTATGTGTAGTTGTTTTTTTTGTTGTTAAAACTTGGCTTAGAAACAACTGGATGGCTATTGTGCAAACTGAGAGGAAAAGATGCTTCATTATGTTGTTAAATGTGGTCCGTAAAAGTCCCAAAGGGAGCGTTTGTCCTGGTTTCAGTCCAGGGAGAATCGTCTTTACTGCTACTAGAGAGATGCAGTCAGTGTCACAAATCACATTTTCAGTTTTTTATATATATCATGTATCCGTTATGGTGGAGACAACCTGCATAGGTCACTGTAAAGGGCTTGATTCTGTCCCAAACTCCTCCGATGTAGAGGACCAATGCAGCTAAAACAATTTCCTTTACACTTAACAGTCAGCTACTTCTTCAGTGTTCGTCTGTGATGGCTTATGAACTTCGTTTCTCCATCAGGTGAATCTCTTTCACTCAGATTGAATGTGGGGTGTTCTCTTGAGGAGGCAACGTGGTGCGGTTGTAGAATGATTGTGTTTCCGGCTTCTCTCATCGCCTCCCCGTCGTCCCGGCGCCGCTGCTCCGGTTGAGGTTGCGGCTGAGCTGAGGGAAGTGGACGGTGGGCGTTCTGGACGTGGGGCCGTAGAGGCCGAGGTTCCGGGCCGCCGCCGATTTCCTCGGCTGCTTCACGGAGGGGAACGGCGTGTAGATCTGCTGCTTGGGAGCGGAGGTGGAAGATGAGAGCGCCGGGGTGGACGGCGACGAGGAGATGTGGGATTTAGACGACGAGGCGATGGAGGAGAGCGAAGGGGTGGAGGGGGAGCACGTTTTGTAAAAGGTGGAGGAGGAGGCAGGAGGAGAGAGAGCGGACAAACCGTTGGCGGACGAGGAGGATGGGAGGCGGGAGTTTGGGGTGGAGGTCATGGTGGGAGAAGCTGATGTAGGAACAGGAGATGTGGACGGAGTGGAGGGTGGGGAGGAGGGGATGCAGGAGTTGGAGGAGTGGTGAGGAGGAGCCACGGAGGGAAACTGTCTGTCAGAGGTTCTTTCTGAACCCGAGGAGTCGGACTCTTTGTGTCGGCCTGAAGGCGGTGGTGGAGGCAGAAGAGGGACTTGGGCTGCAGGTTTGGACTCTACCAATTCTGGTTGTGCATCTGTGTTTGAATCCAGATCCAGGGAGTCCAGCTGCACCACCACCTCTGCCACCTCTGCTTCTTCAGTCACATCCGAACCCTGTGGAGCCTCTTCGCATACTGACCCCACACCAGAGGAATCAGGAGACGGCGGCGCAGAGGCTTCGCTCCACTCTTTCTGCTCATCACCTTCATCGTTTCCCTCATCCTTCCTCTCCTCGTCACCTTCCAGCCTCGCCGATTCTTCCTCCTCGTCCTCCTCGTCCTCCCTCTCCTCTGAATCTCCGAAGCCCAGCTGCGCTCGAGCCCTGGCTACGTTCCTCCGGTGCTGCCGGACGTGAGCTCGCCAAGGTGACCCCGCGCCTCCTGAACAGCTCCCTGGAGATCCGGTGCTGGTGGAGGGCAGCGAGCCGCAGCGCTGCCTGGCCGGGGAGCCCTGGCTCTGGGAGAGGGACGGAGCTCGGCCCCCCGGCAGCGTGGACGTGCAGCCTCGGGGAGCTCCGCGGGGTTTCCGACCCAGAAGGAGGTGGTTGATCACTGAACTGGAGGGGTTGAGCTGGGAGGCCAGGACTCGGGTGGCAGGACACTTGTCTGGAGGGAAGGTGACGGCGCAGACACAAAACAGATTAAAGTGAGTTTATCATGATTATAGATGCTGGGTTCAGGTATCAGCCTAAAATATAAGAGGGATCTGAGGCAGTTTTTTTCATGCATTTAGGTGGATTTAACCCATTTCTATAGATTTGCTTTGATGTGATGTATTCTATTTAGTCTATTTTATTCTTTTGTTACTTTTTAAATTATTTATTTATTTACTTATTTATTTTGTTTATTTACTGTCATTATTTTTTATTTATTTTATTACTATTATTATTATTATTTCTCTTGTTTTTATGGTTTTACCCTCTATGTTTTTTCCTTTTAATTCTATTTATTCTTTCTTTCTTTCTTTTCTTTTTTATTTGATTGGACACTTTTGGTACTTTTAAAAACTCTTTTTTCTGTTTTGCCTTATTGGCCATTTGTTGTTCAGTGGTTTATATAAATAACCAAAAATATAGACAAATGTCTTTTCTGAATTCCCAAAATCATGTCTTAAACTCACTTTGTCTGACTAAAATCTCGATATTACTAGAAAAAATATTATTTTCAATTTATTTATGATTATTTATTAATATTACTAGAGAAAAGTTTATCCTCACATTTTTAGAAACTGTACCCTTTAATAATGTACTAATCCATTTTTTAAAAATTAACATTTTGAAAAAAAATTCCATATTTTTTCATATTATAAATTAAAAAGGTAAACTTTTTATATTATTTTAAACTTTGATCTCAGGAAATATTCAAAAAATGTTTTGAGATGCTGGATTTCTGATTTACAAGTCATAATCATCCAAATTAAAAGAAAAAAAAAGGCTTGATCTACATAATTTTACATGTAATGAAGACAGAATATATAAAATGTTTTACCTTCTTAAACAACTGATGGAAAATACTAAACGTTTTTCACTGTGTTCTAATTTTTTGAGATACACCAGCATTCAAATTGGATTATTACGCTCATCATTGTCATCAGTAAATAGTCGGTCGATGATTAACTGTTGAATTACATCAGCACTACGCTCATGACAGAAATGATTCATGTGGGCTCGTCCAGCAGCTGAGTCATGTTTAGAAACAAGAAGCTGTTCAGAGCAGCAGACACCAGAGGGCGCCACAGCTTCCACTTTACTGAGACTTACAGTATTTAACTACAGCGTTTCTCTAAGGTTATATAATATGTAGAGTATTTTGGGCATTTCCCCCAATATAAGTAAACCATGTTAATATAAACAAGACTTTATAAAAGCTGATTACTGTCTTTATATGACTGATGATTAAAGTGGAAAGAGAGGAGTGACTGTGTGCACAGATGTCTGCAGCTGAAGGAGGAAAACATCAAATCTCAGAGTAATACTGTTACACAAGCCTCACAAATCAGAGGTTTGCATGAGACGGGACGAGCCGCAGCAACCGAGAGGGTCTGTTAATGAAGGTTAGTAACAGAGAACGAGAGAAAACCTCCAACATGCAGCAATCATGTGCAAAAATCAAGTACAATTGGAAACATCTGTCACTGCAGAACTTCATTATTTGGTTAAATGAAACATAAACTGATTTTCTCCCAAATTATACAAGCAATAAAAGCAAAATTGTCATAATAGTATACAATATATTAACACAGCTGTATTTTTTTTTTAGGGAATTCAGACCAAAAACAGTGAATTTTGCATCTGCAGTAGTGACAGGTGTCTCCAAACACGTATTTAGAATGAATCGCAGCTGGTTCATTGACTTTAATTATGCATATTCCACCTGCAACCAGAACAAACCCATCACCAGCTGCTCCGGCTGCGGTATTCCCTTCACCAAACACACCGCGTTTTGATGAAAAATTAATCAAATCATGTGGCAACGGATTCAAAAACGCTCTCAAAATGCCAAAACATTTCCCAACATCTTATGCTATAGGCTCCTTCGCTGCTTTTTTCAAAATGAAGCATTCATGTATTTAGCATTTTGAGAGCACATGTACCCACATTAAAATAATTTAAACCAGATTTTGCACATTTTGTTGGTTTTTATAGTTAAATAATCTGTAAAGGATCCAACATTTCTGAGCAGTTCTTGCAGCAGATTTCCAGAGTTTTTCTGGGAAAACTCAACTGTTCAAATAAGCATCATCAACCTCTGTTTAAATCTGTTTAACTTCTTGAGCTATGTGTTTATATGAGCTGTGTGTGTGGCTAAAAACTAGTTATTTTTCTAATTAATCAAAACAATCTATTGGAAATCTGCTTTGGGAACAAACTGGAGACAAACACTTTAAAACCGCTCAATTACTTTAAACCAAACACCAATGAATCAATAAAAACCCTGACATTAACCCCAGAAACCAGTTTCAGATGCTCTGTGCTGCAGGTTTGACACCAGTACCGTCAGTGTGGAGCTCAGTACTGTTGCTGTGTTTGTTGAAACCCTCCTGAGGAACCCCTGGACTTGTGGCCACTTCAGGTTCAGGTCCTACGAGTCACACAGCATCATCAAACATCTGGATTTGCACTGAGAACATCTGTGCCGCTATGTCTTTTTTTTTTCCCCCCATGTGAGGCATCTCATTAGTGTTTGCTTTTGTTTGTGCGAGTGTTAAAGGAGTTTTTCTTAAGAAGCAATTTTCTGTGGCCGTGGTATCCAGTACTCATAAATAAACATAGTCAGTGTGCTTTTAAGTCTTTCTTACTGGAAATTCACTCTCTGAACCCCAAAACACACCAGCAGGCTTGAAAGACTTATTATCTGTTTAAAAATCTGCAAAATAATACAATTTATCAAAGCTAGAAAGTGTAAAAACAGAAGGAAATGTTGGATATTTGACTTCCTAACAGTCATGTTGTTGGAAAAAGTCACCAAATCTGAATTTAAATCCATGATATTTCATCAGAAATTATTGTATTTTACATGTCTTATTTAAAAATTTGCCCCAAAAATGTTTCATCTAACCAGTTTCTATAAAAATAAAAATAATTAAAGAACATCTGTTCTCCTTAGCACAACTGAAGCATGTAAAAAGTAAAAGGTCTATAACATATAGAGCCCAGTACCTTTGGGCACTGAGTTTTTTCTATTTTTGTAAAATAATCAGGGAAATTCAACTAACATTTTTCCTTTATTTATGATTAACGGAAACGTTTTTATACCACAAAAAATGACTTTATATTGCAATGAAAAATGAGCTCACAGTGACTAAAATGAGCAAAAAAAAACTTCTTGGGGTTCAGCTGGTTAAAGAAAAATGTTTGTAAATGACAGCATCTTGAAATTAAATCAAATACTTGGTTATATAACGTGAGTTGTGTACATTAGTGAGGAATTAATCACCTGAAAAGATTAACTAACCTTCTCATTCTGATGTTTTTTGATGGCTTTCTTTACCTACAGGCAGGTTGAACAGAACCTTTAAGGTATGCTCACTGTTGTTGTTCATCCTCCTCACCTGTGCGTATGTAGAGTTGCATAGCCTGCTGCTGCTGCCGCCTCTTGATGCGGGCGTATTGCTTCTTCAGGGCGTAGATGTCGGTGCTCATCCTCTCCATCATCATGCTGTTGATGGCCGCCTGGTGCTCTGCTCTGGCACCTCCTCCTCCAGCTCCTCCTCCACCTCCTCCTGCTCCTCCAGCTCCTCCAGCTCCCACCGCTCCCGGGCTCAGCTCGGCCATGTTCCCCTGCTCGCCTCGCTGGTCTGGACGGAGGAAAAACAACACACAGGTCAGGGTGAGATTAGACGAGTAGCTGTAGTTTGACAGTCTTGGGTGTTTTTAAAAAGAGAATCAGAGCACATGGAAGGTAGTTAAGACACTGAAATCCACTATTTTAATAAGCAATCATGCTGAACAAGCATCTAAAAGGAGAAACAGGGTGACAACTGAGGTTTTGTTCTTAATATCACTTGACACACAGCTTGTGACAGTGAATGAATTCATCATATATCACATTATAGCAGATTAGGGACCCAACGATATGGTGTCTTCAGAGATAAGATACTGATTATTAGTGATCACTAGAAATTGATATCAGGAGCAAAAAATATAGAAAACAAGAAATTGCTTAGGGTTCTGTGGGTTAACTTATGTTATTGAGGACTAAAAAAATAATGATAATTGGAAAAATGCAGAATATCGGATATGAAATCTCCTGCTATATTAATTAATGATGTATTGTATGGAGTAGTGAGAGTGCCAAATTACAAAAATAAATCAATAAAAGAATAATAAAATAAAATTGGAAATAAAAAGAAGAATAAATAAAATAAAAAAATAAGTAATGTGACAATATATCAATCAAAAATGAATCCATAAAAGAAAAGGCTAATAAAAGTAGAAATATAAAGACAAATGAATAAAATAATCAAAATAATATTTATTTATTTTTACAATGTATTTATTTTATCATTTTTATTTTTTTTTAGTTTTAAAATTATTTTTTTTAATTTTTAAGTTTTTTTTTTGCTGCTTTATATTATTTTTTTTTTTCTTTATTTCTATTTTTATTTTATTTTTATTTTATTGCTTTTAAAGAACTTTTTAAATGTATTGAGTAAAGTTCGAATATAAATCTTGATGGAAACACAATTTCTTGAAACTTTCATGACAACTGACAAAACAAGCATCGTTTGTGAAACACAGAAGAGAAGCAGAGATTCAAGTGATTACAGTCAAAGGCTCTGGTTCAAAAAGCAGAAGCAAAATACAGAAATCAGACATAATCCAATGTGCCTTTTTTTTTTTTTTTTAAAGCTTTTTAAGCTCCTTTTCTTTCTTATTTGCTCCCCCCAGTTCGGCTTTAATCAAAATCAGCTGAGCGTGCAAGACATTAAACTAAGCAGCAGAGAAAAAAGCCTCTTGATGCAATCTGCGGAGAATAACAACAAAATCTGGAGTCTGTGTTGTATTTATTTACACAGCATGAGACGTACTGTATATTGTACATGACTGAGTCAGACTTTCCTGCTTTTTGATGCTTTTAGATCAAAGCAGAAGACAAGCTAAAGTGCATTCTGTTGAGTTTTTTACTCGAGTGTATTCCTGTTCATTTTCTCTTTAGCTTCCCTGAATAATCACAGCACTCTGGAGGCTATTTCTCATCACCTTTTCAGCAGCTCTTCCTGCTTTTGTGCAACAAAAACTGAATCCAATCCAGCAGCAGCACACAATGTAAAGCACTTTTTGGAGGCCTGCTGCTCTGCTTTGTCGACTGCAGCTCCACAGTGTGACTGCGTTAGCGATTTATTGATGTTCTTTTGCTTCTTAAAAATAACGTTTCCCCTTTGAAGCGGGTCAAGCGCTGAGATCTTCTTAGGAGGTTAAATGAAAGTGCTCAGATCTGAAGTCCTCTTTAAATCTCTCCACAGTGTGACAAGTGCTGCCTCAGATCTTAACCAATGTTTTCAGCTAAATCCCTCAGGCTGTTTCTCATGTTTGCGCGAGTCGCTGAGGGACGAGGAAGCGGGGATTTGTCTGGAGGAAACAGATCAGAGGCTGTACTTGGAGTCAGATTGGGGGCAGAACACGAGGATCTGGGGCAGAAGTGAGTCTGGAGCCGCTTGGCGCCAAACTGTACTCTCTCTTCTACTGTCCCGTGGGCTGCTTTATGTGTCTGTGCTGACCTTTGAGATGCTTCTGGTATCTCTGCAGCTCGGGGGCCAGCAGGCCGCCCAGGGGCCCCAGACAGCCGAGCGCCGTCACCACCGAGTCTTCGTCATCCATGTCGGCGTCGTCATCGCTGTCCCAGCCGCCCAAACCACCACTGGAGGAAAATCAGTATCAACACCACCACTATTATTATTATTACTACATGTTCCCATCATCACCATGTTCACATGCTAAGTGTTACGTTTCCAATTACAGGTTATGTGTCCATTTTTAGAGAAGGCTAAACTTCAGACAAACAGATGCTTCAAATGACATTTTGGACTCTTGCAGGTTCTCCCAAATGTAAATGCTGATCGCACATGGAACTGTTATAGAATAATTCCACCATCAGCGTTTAGACAGGACTCAGTTTCACTATTCAGCTCTGTCTGGCAACAGGTCTAAAACCTACCAGGAAATAAAAGCTTCATTTTCAGTTAAAAGAATAACCAGAATAACTGGAAACTACCTGGCAAAAGAAACAGAACCTTGTTGTTTAAGTAGGCAAACAGTTAATAAGAGTGAACTTGGGATGAGGATTGGCTCCATTTAAAAAGCTTCAAAACCAACATTCAGTTGTCATTGTTTCTTCTAGATCAGTAAAACCCGACCAGCTGTATTTATAACCACTGGTTGTACTCTCCCTTTATCACAGCACTGAGACCTGGGTTTGCGTTTCAAATTGGGATTCTTACAGTACAACCATGAACTAACCTCCCAAAACACATTGTAGGACTCCTTAACCATTCCTGCAACCTACAAGTTCCATTTCATCCAGCTAACTTCCAATAACAATTGTTCTTCTACCTGGGAATTAAAGTAATGAGTACATACAGCTTTAAGGTTTCCTGCTGTTTCTCATGATACACGACCAGCAGAGCCACTTCAAACTACATTACCAACATGACCACTTGGTATCTCTTACCATCTAAAATCCTTCAAGCACCATGGGTTTATCAATACACTCCACCGTTAGGTTGCTGGTACTTCAGAGTAACAGATTCTTACTTAAGGATCACATTCAACTGAACAACCTGCCTGCTCTTGCACTCTCCCTGCTCCTGAAGGGGTGGACAGAGGGTTAACATTGTGATCACTGTGCGAACAAGGTGGATGGCATCCCCCCCTCTTTTAACAGCTCACTGGCTAACAGCCAGAAAACAAATCAGGAACTTCTTTCTTCTGTCTTATTTTCTAAGTGGTATTGATCGTTTTGTATCCTGTGTTGCTGGTAGCTGCGAGGCTCCGAGGAAACCGGAAAGCGATCCAGTCTTACGGCAAACAGTATTAAGACTTGGAAACGTTGAGTAGGTAAGATTTAAAAGGTTGTCTGTTGCCACTTTAACCCTCTGAACCCCAAAACCTGCCAACAGGTATAAAAGGCTTGTTATCTTTTAAAACACACCAAAATTATAAAGACCCAAAAACTGTAAAAGCAGGAAGCATCATCAGATTCACAACTTTCCAAATCATCCACAACGTGCTGTTTTCTCAGAAAAAAATGACCTGATCTAAGCTTCAAATCACGATATTTCATCAAAATGACTCGTTCAAAAATATGACAAAAATGAAACAGATCCTAAACAGATCCTGCAATAAACACAAAAATCTACACTTCACAGCACAACCGAGAAGTCATCAGTGACTCAGCTGTGACCAACAATCGTGTACCAAAAATTTGGAGAGTTTCCAGAAAAAAAAAAAAAATTGAATGAAAAAAAAAAAGCCAAAAAAAGGGAAAAAAAAGAAGAAGGTGGTGGAAAAAAAAATCAACCGGAAGAAAAAACCTTCCAAAAGTGACGGGCAAAACAAAAAAAAAAAAGGTGGGAAAAAGTGGTAAAATGGAAAGTGAACGGGTCAAAAAAACCCCTTAAAAAAAGCAAAAACAAAACTTTTTCACAGTATTGGTAACACCAATTTTACTTGCAGATTCCAAGTTTTTTTCGATTTGTAGTTTGATTTTGCAGCCAAACAAGTTCAACTTTCATTTAGGATTTATGGCACTAAAGCTGTATCATACTCCACAGCAGACATTCCTGAGTTCTCTCTACTTCTAATAATTGTTGTTCTGTTTCCATAGATGTGCAGGACTTCATGTTGCAGAGAAAAATGAGCCCACAGTGAGTAAAAATGTGACAAGAGCAAGAAGCTGTACCATTTTTCAGTACATGTTAGTGACACCAACATGTTGCTGTCACCGACTGTTATCATGAATATCATCGGTCGTCTCTTTAAGGGCAGCGAAGTGGAGAAACGTGGAGGGTTTTACGCAACACTATTGACTTTCTAAGTATAGAACAGAACAAACCTTCCGTTGGATTTCACTGAGGTAGGGAATGGAGTGATGTTGTAGGTGTACTTCTCTCTCAGCTCGGCCAGCTGGGGGAAGGGAAACACCGCCATGGAGTAGACCTCCTGAAAGACGCAGAGAAAGGAGGTCAGAGGGACTTCATCGCGCCACTTATTGACTATTTTAAAAGGTATAAACGCGTCACTACCTGCATGAGTTCAGCAGGATCGATGAGGTTGTGCTCCAGCATCTCCTGAGTGAGGCATCCCATTGTGCTGTAAAACTCATCGGCTGTCTGACAGTATTCGATCCTCCTGGACACAGATGAATGAGAGGCAGGCTGTGGTTAAAGGACAAATGGGGTACGCTAGCAATCCATCTTAAGTTTTCCAATTATAGCTGACATTGCATTTGCTTTGCTATGACAACTGTTTGGCTCAAATTTGACCCAGATAGCAAATAAAACCTTAATTATAGCAGGTTTTTTTAATGGCAAAATCAATCAATAGTGTTTCATACTCCAATAAAAAGCATTTTCAGAAACTATTCAATCATGTTTAAGGATTATTATTAGCAGAAGCAGCAGAGGTGCTATTGGTCTTCATGATTAGGGTATTTTTCACCTCCGCAATCAGAGATTTTTTTGGCAAACAGCCTGAAAATTATGACATTGAGCATCTAATACTGAAACAAAATACCAGCGATTGGCACACTGACTCATGCAAACATTGGGATGATTTTGGAAAATCTCAGACCATCTGTACTTTAATCGAGCATCCACTTACTCCCCCAGTCTCTCCCAGATGGCTAGGGCGACCCGAAACAGCACCTCCGATCCCTCGAAGAACACCGAATCCCAGATCTTGAGCACGGTGGGCGCCGGCAGGCAGGTGGCGAACATGGTTAGGAACCACTGCATAGTGAAAACGTTGGTCAGCGGAGGCTCGTAGCTGCCTGGAGGAAAGAGACGCAGAAAGATTGTGATGTTAAGCAAGAGATTAGTGCAAATGAACTCACAGAATAATGACTTATTGATGAGTTCTTTTGATTTTATGCATGTAATAAATAAAAACTTCTCACAGACATGCACTCGTTTTTGATCTGATGGTATCTGAATGTGTCGGCTTCATGTCTGTGCCCGGATTAGTTTTCCGGAAAAGTTGCAACGGCAATTTTACTTGCAATGTTGCATGAAGCTACCAAAATTTCTGTCTCACTGTCAACACAGCACAAGTCTGAGCTGCATGCAGTCGCATCAACAGACAGGAAGGCCAAGCAACGTACTTCAGATTTCACCAGAAAAATACCAGCTAGAAAAACATCCTTATTTACTTTGCGATCTATTACAAACTAAAAGTCCATAAAATTAAACTAAACTGCGATGAGGACCAAGTCTGCAACAGGTGAGATTACTGAGACCCATTAATAATTTATATATTTCTGGTTTTGACTAAATCAGAGCTCAAATTTAGTTTGTTGCTTCCAGGAGTCTTTCCTCTGAGCTGATTAAATACCAGCAGCAGGAACTATTCCAGCATCTCCACAGAAAGAGAGAGTTTTGCACATTTATGCAAGTGGAACAGCAACAGTAACTGCATCGCTTATAGATTATCTCCTACATGGAGAGAAGATCAATCAGGATGTCACAGAAAATCCCAGTTTGTGCTTTCTTTTTTTAGATTATGTGTAACATTTCATTTTTCAGGTGCAATATTCCAATTTCACGTGTCATATTTCATTATATTGTGTGATATCACTTATTACCTCTGTATTAGCGCCAGCATTACTTTTTGCTTTGCTTTTCAAGTCTTATTTTAGTGTACTTATCATATTTTCAGTAATGTATCATACTTAAATCTTATTCCTTCTCTACTGGGCATTTAATTTACATCATTCAATTTTTTCTGACCAATATCTGGCACAAGAGTCTCCTTTGGGATCAGTAAAGTTTTTTAATAAAGTCAGCGAGTAACACAAACATAAAAGCGACCCATAACTCACTTTAACAGACAAATAAATCAGCAATGTTATGGATTCCAGCACATATAACAGCAACATAAAGGAAACAAGCGAAGCAGCAACATTTATACAAGTCGGCTTTTAGGAAACATGCATCCAAACAGAGCTGTACCTCCAGCTTCTCGGTTGGCTGCTTTCTGGAGGTGGTGGAGGTGTTGGGACAGTCTGGGCAGCTTTAGACGCAGCAGATCTCTGAACACCGCCATGTCCACTGCCAAGATGGTACAGAAGGAGGCATTAAACATGACTGTCAAGCCTCACATCGGGAGGGAGAGTAGAGGTGTTGCAATTTCAATGTACACCGGAAATGATCCAAAGGTCTGGCTGACACATCGTAGATCACAGCTACCACATCTATTAAACATTTAAGCTCCTGAATCCCAAATTAAAACATCTAATTTAATCACTGCTTTTTAAATTTGATTTGGTTGTGAGAAACATCACAGTTTCCCGGAGAGAAAGTTGACATATTTAATTGCTTGTCTTGTTCAATCAAGTCCATTAACAGACTCATCTTTTCATCTCTAGATCAGAGGATTGCACCAAACGAAGGAATACTATTTCTGTCATGTACAACAAATGGAACAGCTTTTGTACAAAATTCTGTCTTTTGCAGTTATGTTCTGGGCTAAAGCTGTTAGAGCTAGTAACGTATAATCGTTTTATTTAATTTCAGGATCATCTTCAGTTTCAAAATGCATCAAATCATGTGTGTGTGTGTCATTGCGTTTACCTGACAGTGCACGCAAGTTGTTGGCAAAATAGCTGTCGGGCAGCACTTTGTCAATCAGGTAGATCATCACCTGAGAATAGGAGATAAGAAAAATAGGAGAGAGCTTAGTTTTAGTGCATTTTTTATCATTTCAGAATGAAAATAAGCATGATCAGCCTGCCTATAATAAAGCAAATAAGTCTGTGTAGGCTTATTTGACAGAAATCTGTGTATTTTCCTTGATTTCTAGCTATTTCATGGACAAAAGTGTTCATTGTGATTGACTAAATGAAAGCCCAACTAACAAAACTGGCAAAAAGAAGCTGAACTGCAGTTTTTATTCAAACTTCTCGTCATTTTGGTGCAGGTTTTTTTTTTTGAGAGACGGCTGAGGAGCACCAAAAACACTACCACCAGACTGTATAAGCAGTTTAATCCCAATGAATTCATGTGTGAGATGTAAAAATCATGTAAAAACTTCCCCTTTTCGTGCAGGATACACTACATTTTGGAGAAAACAGTCATATTTTCCAGGTTATTTAATGCTGCTGCTGTGTGCGTTTACCTTCAGAGCATCACTCTCGTTTCCTTCTGTAACCTCCAGTATAAGAGCAGCCAGAACGTTGAACCCTTGGCAGTAGCCCACAGCTTTATTCCAGCGGGCGTAGGCCAGCAGCACCCTCTTCAGCACCACCCGGTCCTGCTCCCCCTCCTGGCCGCAATAGGAGCTGCAGCCCGTCCTGTGCAGATCCTGGATGCACAGCGATGATTATTTCATTACCAGTCAGTGCATTAACTGGATAAATCAATTACATGTGGATAAATAAATCATTTGCTGCACTAAACAGCGACGAGCAGGCAAACGGAGGGAAGCAGATGACTGGACTTTGCCCTGTTGACGGAAGCAGCCATTTGTCTGTTGAATCTCTGAGTCACTGAGACTCGCAGTGTTTCCATGAAGTCATCGGGCTCTGACGCACAGTCATGAGCAAACATCCTCAACCGAACGCTCACGCTTCCCAGTCACATCCACCTTCAAGGGACTGCGTTTCATATGTTGGATAAGCTCATATACAACAAAAAGAAATGCTTTTCTGTGTCAATATTTGTTATTCTGCAGGATCACCTCAATAAAATAGGTCAGCAGGTTCAGACTGTTGTGCGTCTTTCAAACCTAGTCAGTCAGGTTTATCTTATAGAACTGTCTAGGATATATACAGGATCCACGCAGAACTGTCCTCTGCCTCACAATAACAAAAAGGTCTGACAAAATAATGTCATCTTGAAATCATTTTGTGGCTCTTTTGGAGTTTAATGTCAATTTTACTGTCTTAATTAGTTGATTATTAGCTAAAATATTTGTTGATGAAGGTGAGATGTGTGGCAAAAGCCATTAAGTGCATCAAGAATTTCCATTTTTCTCATGTTTCTGTTAATTATAAGCTCAGCTGCCGATTTGCTAGGTATACCTACCGACATCTAAGGCAATCTAACAACAGCCCTGCCATAAATCCTCCCTTCCAGGGTATTTCTTTGCTCAGAATAAGTCTTTGGAGGGTGACTAGAAATAATACTTAGCATGCTTGATCCATGTTCACGAAAGGTAGTGAGTTTGTGTTACCTTATATAATAAAATATATGCATTTTCCTGTTATTTCAACCATTTCATGAACCAAAATGTCTACACGCGAGAGGAAATAAACCCCCTTTAACAGAAGTGGCACAAATTTCTTTTCTTTTTTTTTAAATGATCAATTGTTATCATTTTGGCCGCTCGTTAAAACCTCTCTGCAGGACGCCAAAAACCCCTTTGTGTAGGAAAAACCCTGCCATTATGAAGCTTATAATTTGAACCCATTTTACAGCCACATTGATTCGACTGTGTGGCTGCTATGGAGGCTGCTGAAGGAGTTCTGGAGCTAAACTTTGATCAGATCCAAGATCAGCATGTATGATTCTTTATCATTCACCTGATTCAGCGGGAAAAACTTTGTGTTCTGTGATAATCTAACTGCTGTTCACAATCAAACCTGTAGAACTTTGTATAAAAACTACAAAAAATATTTGATTTGTGCAGTTTATTTGCAAAACTAGACACAATATATCACCAATGATTGTAAAACTATTACTCTATATGAGCTGCAGAGACAATTCGCTGCTAAAGCACAGCATGTTTCTGTGACCCTGCACAGTCTCCTCCTTCAGACGGCCTTCAGGTTTCCGCCTCAGAGTATTTTAATCTTCATGCTGAGGCTTCAACACTGGAGCCCAAGCTGCTGACTCAGGACTCTCACGAATGCTCACACACTGTGCACACACAATCATCTCAACCCCCAACTCCCCCAAAGCGCAAATATAATCCGGTTACCTTGACGATCTGGATGCCGAGGGAGTCGTCATCCGGGTTGCTGCGCTCGTTGAAGGCGAAGCGAAGGGTCTTCTCCCAGTCGATGGAGATGCTGTGGAGGTACTGGTCCGCTAGCGTTAGCCAAACCTGCACAGAGACGTGAACCACGTAATTTTACGGCTTTTTCGAGATGAAGGCAGCTAATGTGAGAAACAGCGAAAGATCACAGATGCAGATTTTCATTCGTGTCCCCACTGAGGGATTTAAACAAACATTTAATCTGCGCTGTGTTTCTTCCCTCCGGCTCTTCTGTAAAAAGGCCTCGTGTTCGCAATGACTCACTTTGTTCACGCAAGAGACAAGATTTCATTGTTCATCTCCTCAGACAAGATGAAAGTAATCGCTTCCATTTCCCGTTTCCTCGCTCTCTCGCCCCAACAGATAAAGCCTTGATGTGAGATGAATGCGGCGTTGTAGACAAAGTGCCTCCGCGTATTGTTCTTTTAGACGATGCCGTTTCTCTAAAGACCGGCTGACAACAGCAAAAGACTTTTCTTGTTAATGGCACAGCTGGGTCAAGATACAAATAGACTAAAGAAATGTGAAAAGTCTTGTTTATCAAAATGCTTTTTCATATGGAAGATGTTTCTCAGTGACACCCAAAGGCCTGGGCTAATAATTTACTTTTTCGACTCCCAACACAGTCGATAAACAACACAACTGTCCCAACAGCAACAAACATTTAGAGTTACATACCCTTTTCCTCCACTCCTTTGGTATCCCAGTGGGAAGTCTTGCCACAGCTTTGAGGGCGTCATACCACTGTTGGAAGAAGAAGCACATCATCTTATTTAACCTGAAGCTGAAACTATAAGTCACTCAGAAACACCATACTGATACCAGAAGTGGCACGTTCAAAAGTTTCTGAGACAGGGCCAGTGTGTCCAACAAGTGCAAGCAGTAACTATCATCAGTGGGTTCTGTGCTACCCATGATTTTGTGACCACTGGATGACCAGCTGGATGTTCCAACTTTCATGTGGAGGGTCATCATTGTGACTAGACGTGGGTCTGTGGCTACCACCAGGAGAAGAAACTGCATTTTTCGAATTTTTCAAAGCTGGACGATTTGCGTCAGGTCAGGAGAGCAGCAGCAGGAGTTTTTCTTTAAAGTTGTTGTGGTTGTACACCAAGGAATCCTCTCTCAGAGTGTTGGAGAACATTCGGCACAGACTGATTACATGTCGGTTTTTGCCCGCAACAACACAATCATCACTCTCAACCCGCCCGGCTCACCAGATGTGGCTCCCTGTGACTTCTTCCTCCCCCTCAAAGTAAATTTTCCAAGTTGAAGGGTCGCCGCTTTGACACAGTTTAAGAGATTCAGCAGTGATTGCAGATGGTGCTTAGCATGGTTACGTAACAGGACATGCAGAGAGCGCGGTATCGCGGCGAAAGAAGGCGACTTTGACGGGAATTTACCCTGTTTAAAGGCAAAGTCTCTGAACGTTTTGATCTGAAAAAATTGTCCTAGTTCTTCAAGATGTTCCCTCTGTTTTCAGCCTTTTTAATGAGAGCTAAAATGTGTTAAAGATCCGAAAACAAGTCGAGCTGCCCTCTACTAAAGCACTGACCTGCACGACTGGGAATCTACACAGACACAAACGACTGCATCAGCCTCTCATGCTAAAATACATGTTCATACTCCTGTATACACACACAACTTCAGATCAGCAGCTAAACATGCTGGATCTAAAGCCGAGACCTGGGTTGTCTTTTCATCCCTCACCTGCTGGAATCCGTTCTTTCCCAGCGACGGTTCAATCGTAAACTTGAGCCTTGTGTCAACTCCTGCAAACAAACAGAGACAGTTGGTTAGAGGAGTCTTTACCTGACGTTTCCAGACTTTTGTTTGCTTGTTTAAATGTTTTGAAATATGTGCAAAAAACCCC